CCGCGCCCGGCCGACAGTGTTTTCAATAAATGATATAAGCGGACGTCAAAGGTAAAAGGAAAAAAAAAAAAAAAGAACTCTGTCCTACTACTCATATATTATACAAAAATTGGCCAGGCATGGTTGCTCACACCTGTAATCCCAGCACTTTGGGAGGCCAAGGCAGGAGGAATGCTTGAGCCCAGGAGTTTGAGATTAGCCTGAACAACATGGCAAGACCCCATCCTTACAAAAAAAAAAAAGGTGTTTAATTAGCTGTTTTTGGTGGCACATGCCTGTAATCTCAGCTACTCAGGAGGCAGAAGGACTGTTTGAGCGCAGGATGCTGAGGCTGCAGAGAGCCATGATTTTACCACCGCACTTCAACCTGGGCAATAGAGTAACACCTTGTCTCAAAAACAAAAACAAATTGACTCAAATGAGGTCACAGGCTTGAATGTAAAACATAAAATGATAAATAAAACCTGTAGAAGGCCCGGATGTAGTGGGTCACGTCTGTAATCTCAGCACTTTGGGAGTCCAAGATGGGCAGATTACCTGACAGGAGTTGGAGACCAGCCTGGCCAACATGGTGAAACTCTGTCTCTACTAAAAATACAAAAGCTAGCTGGGTGTGGTGGTGTGTGCCTGTAATCCCAGCTACTGGGGAGGTTGAGGCAGGAGAATCACTTGAATCTGGGAGGCAGGGGTTGCAATGGGCCAAGATAACGCCACTGCCCGCCAGCCTGGGCAACAGAGCAAGACTCCATCTGAAAAAAATAAAATATACCAGGCGTGGTGGCTCATGCCTGTAGCCCTAGCACTTTGGGAGGCCAAGGTAGGTGGATCGCTTGAGGCCAGGAGTCCAAGACTGGCCTGACGGCTGGGCACAGTGGCTTATGCCTGTAATCCCAGCACTTTGGGAGGCCAAGGAGGGTGGATCACAAGGTCAGGAGATCGAGACTATCCTGGCCAACATGGTGAAACCCCATCTCTACTAAATATACAAAAATTAGCTGGGCGTGGTTGTGCACGTCTGTAATCCCAGCTACTCAGGAGGCTGAGGCAGGAGAATCACTTGAACCAGGGAGTCGGAGGTTGCAGTGAGCTGAGATCACACCACTGCACTCCAGCCTGGCGACAGAGCAAGATTCCATCTCAAAAAAAAAAAAAGACCTGCCTGGCCAATATGGAGAAACCCCGTCTCTACTGCAAATACAAAAATGAGCTGGGCACGGTGGTGTGTGCCTGTAATCCCAGCTACTTGGGTGGCTGATGCAGGAGAATCACATGAACCCAAGAGGCAGAGGCTGCAGTGAGGAGAGTTCGCACCACTGCACTCCACCCTGGGTGACAGAGTGAGATAATGTCTCGAAAATAAAATAAAATAAAATAAAACTTGTAGAAAAAATATACAAGAAAATCTTCAGGATCTAGGTTTAAGTAAAGAATTCTTGGCCAGGCGCGGTGGCTCAAGCCTGTAATCCCAGCACTTTGGGAGGCCGAGGCGGGTGGATCACGAGGTCAGGAGATCGAGACTATCCTGGCTAACATGGTGAAACCCCGTCTCTACTAAAAATACAAAAAACTAGCCGGGCGTGGTGGCGGGCGCCTGTAGTCTCAGCTACTTGGGAGGCTGAGGTGGGAGAATGGCGTGAACCCGGGAGGCGGAGCTTGCAGTGAGCCGAGATCACGCCACTGCACTCCAGCCTGGGAGACACAGTGAGACTCCGTCTCAAAAAAAAAAAAAAAAAAAAGAATTCTTAGACTTAGGGCGAGCGTGGTGGCTCATTCCTATAATCCTAGCACTTCAGGACGCCGAAGCAGGTCAATCACGTTAGGTCAGGCGTTCAGGACCAGCCTGGCCAACATGGCGAAACCTTGTCTCTACTAAAAATATAAAAATTAACCAGGCATGATGGCGCATGCCTGTAATCCCAGTTACCTTCGAGGCTGAGGCAAAAGAATCGCTTGAACCCCGGAGGAGGAGGTCGTGGTGAGCTGAGATCGTGCCATTGCACTCTAGCCTGGGCAACAAAGCAAGACCCCATCTCTAAATAAATAAATAAAAATAAAAAATTAACTCGGCATGGAGGAACACACCTGTAGTCCCAGCTACTTGGGAGGTTGAGGCGGGAGGATCACTTAGGCCCAGGAGATCAAGGTTATATTGTGCTATGATCACACCACTGCACTCCAGTCTAGGCAACAGAGTGAGACCTTGTCCAAAAAAAAAAACAAAAACAAACAAACAAACAAACAAAAACCAAACTAGAGATACAACTACAAGAAAACTCAACAATTGCATTCCTAGGCATTTATCCCACAGAAATGGAGAAATGAAGACTTACTTTCTGACAAAAACCTCTGTATACAAATGTTTATAGCATCTTTATTCCTAAAAACCTCAAACTAGAAACAACACAGATGATGTTAGGTGGAAGAATAGTTAAATTATGATAATCTATACTATGACTACTATTCGGCAATAAAAATGAATGCATTATTCATATATGTGATAATCCGAATGAATCTCTAGAAAATTATGCTGAGGGCTGGGCATGGTGGCTCATGCCTATAATCTCAGCACTTTGGGAGGCAGAGGCAGGAGGATCACCTAAGGTCAGGAGTTCAAGACCAGGCTGGCCAACATGGTGAGACCCGCACCCACCCCAGCCCCCATCTCTACTAAAAATACAAAAATTAGCCAGGCTTGGTGGTGCGTGTCTGTAATCTCAGTTACTCGGGAAGCTGAGGCAGGAGGATCGCTTGAAACCAGGAAGCGGAGGTTGCAGTGAACCGAGACTGTGCCACTGTACTCCAGCCTGGGCAACAGAATGAGACTCCATCTCAGAGAGAAAAAAATATATATATACTGAGTTTATTTATTTATTATTTATTTTTGAGACAGAGTCTCGCTCTGTTGCTCAGGCTGGAATACAGTGGCATGATCTCAGCTCACTGCAATCTCTGCCTTCCAGATTCAAGCAATTCTCTGCCTCAGCCTCCCAAGTAGCTGGGATTACAGACGTCTGCTACCATGGCCGGCTAATTTTTGTATTTTTCGTAGAGACGGGGGTTTTACCATCTTGGCCAGGCTGGTCTTGAACTCCTGACCTCGTGATCTACCCTCCTCGGCCTCCCAAAGTGCTGGGATTACAGGCGTGAGCCACCACGCTTGGCCTATTTATTTATTATTTATTTTTATTTTTTGTTTATTTTTTCGCTTTGTCACCAAGGCTGCAGTACAGTGGCACGATCCTGGCTCACTGCAACCTCTGCCTCCTGGGTTCAAGCAATTCTCGTGCCTCAGCCTCCCGAGTAGCTGGGATTACAGGCATGCACCACCATACCCGGCTAATTTTTGTATTTTTAGTAGAGACGGGGTTTCTCCATGTAGGCCAAGCAGGTCTCGAACTCCTGATGTCAGGTGAACAACCCGCCTCGGCCTCACAAAGTGCAGGGATTACAGGTGTGAGCCACCATGCCTGGCCAATGCTGAGTTTAAAATCCAATCTATGCTGGGCATGATGGCTCATGCCTATAATCCCAGCACATTGGGAGGCCGAGGCAGGCAGATCGCTTGAGCTCAGAGTTTCAAGGCCAGCCTGGGCAACATGGTAAAACCCCATCTCTAAAAAAATAAACAAAACTAGCAGGGCATGGTGATGCACACCTGTAGTCTCAGATACTCAGAAGCCTGAGGTAGGAATGGCTTCATTGCAGGAGGCAGAGATTGCAGTGTGCTGAGTCCAGCCACTGTACTACAGAGACTGGGTGACAGAGAGCCAGACCCTGTCTCAAAAATAAAGAAAGAAATAAAAAAATTTAAAAAGCCAATCCAGGCCAGGCGTGGTGGCTTATGCCTGTAATCCCAGCACTCTGGGATGCCAAGGTGGGTGGATCACCTGAGGTCAAGAGTTTGAGACCAGCCTGGCCAACATGGTACAACCCTGTCTCTACTAAAAATACAAAAATTAGCAGGACATAGTGTCAGGTGCTGTAATCCCAGCTACTGGGGAGGCTGAGGCAGGAGAATCACTTGAACCTGAGAGGAGGAGGTTGCAGTGAGCCAAGATCGTGCCATTGCACTCCAGCCTGGGCGATAAGAGCAAGACTCCATCTAAAAACAAAAACAAAAAACAAGCCAATCCAAAGACTTTATATACTATACGATTCCATTCATATAACATAGTTGTTCTGGCCGGGCGCGGTGGCTCAAGCCTGTAATCCCAGCACTTTGGGAGGCCGAGACGGGCGGATCACGAGGTCAGGAGATCAAGACCATCCTGGCTAACACGGTGAAACCCCGTGTCTACTAAAAAAAAAAAATACAAAAAACTAGCCAGGCACGGTGGCGGGCACCTGTAGTCCCAGCTACTCCAGAGGCTGAGGCAGGAGAATGGCGTAAACCCGGGAGGTGGAGCTTGCAGTGAGCTGAGATCAGGCCACTGCACTCCAGCCCGGGTGACAGAGCAAGACTCCGTCTCAAAAAAAAATAAAAATAAAAAAATAACATCGTTGTTCTGTATTGTTTTTGTTTTTGAGATGGAATTTTTGCTCTTGTTGCTCAGGCTGGAGTGCAATAGCATGATCATGGCTCAATGAAAACTCTGCCTCCTGGATTCAAGTGATTCTCCTGCCTTAGTCTCTCGAGTAGCTGGTATTACAGGCATGCACCACCACTCCTGGCTAATTTTTGTATTTTTAGTAGAGACGGGGTTTCACCATGTTGGTGAGGTTGGTCTCGAACTCCTGACCTTAGGTGATCTGCCCACCTCGACCTCCTGAAGTCCTGGGATTACAGGCATGAGCCACTGCACCTGGCCCCCAGGCTGGTCTTTAACTCGTGGGCTCAGGCAATCCTCGCACCTTGGCCTCCCAAAGTGCTAGGATTACAGGTGTGAGCCACTGCACCCGACCCTGAAGCCTCTATAAAGGGTGAAAGGACATAAACATGCACATGAAATTATAAACTGAAAGGAAAAAGCTAGCTATTTCCCCTCCAATCACAATCTTACCTGTAATAAGCACTTGATCCGTTCTCCAGGAGTCATGATTCCTGTGGTGAATACACCAGATAACATCCCAGCTGCAAACAGCTGGGGATAGCTGCATTGAAAACAAAAACCAGAAGCAAGCACCTGTGACTAACCACTGAGGACAGGGGCCAATCCCAGCAAAAAGGACAGTTTTGTAAGAAAAAAAAATAAGTACTTGGACTGGGTAGAAGCCTAAGATTTCGCACAAAAACTCAGTTATAGGTATATTTTAATGTCAAATTTCCCAGAGCAAGGGTCTCAGTGGCAAGAGCAATGGGAGTCTGGTCACAAGGCCCACCCCATGCGGTGTACGCTCTGAATCCCTGACCTGTAAGAGAAGTTTTATAGTAAAACACAGTTTCCATCCATGCGCCTGCCAGGCACAGTGACTATGGACAGGTTTCCAGGCCTGTCTGAGCCTTAATTCCCCATAGTTAATGTGCTGGGGTTTTTGAGGGGGAAGTCTCTAACCCAAGATCTGGACTTTAATCTCCCCCAGTAGTTCCCCTCCAGTCTCACTTCCCCTGGATTACCAAGGGCCTGAGAACACTCTAAGCCAAGACTCAAGCAGGACAGCTTCAAGGCCAAGGAGGATGGCTGTGGCCACCTCTAAAGGCTAAGGGATAGCCAAGTCAACTGCAGGCAATATGCTGTAAGATGCTGAGAAACGACCAGACAGGGATGATAGCCAGGCAGGCATGACAGATCCTGTGGCCCCTGTACAGGGAAATAGTCCCCCAGTGGCAAGAGGTATGGGTCTTCACTCTGGCCCCCACAGAATGAACAACCCTGAGTATAAACAGCAGTCTGAGGCTCCTACCCATCTATCACCCCAAGCTGTCTGTGCCACCTCTGGCATCTCCTTTTCTTTTCTTTCTTCTTTTTGTTTATTTGTTTGTGTTTGTTTTGAGACACGGTCTCACTCTGTCCCCAGGCTGGAGTGTAGTGAAGCGATCTCGGCTCACTGCATCCTCCACCTCCTGGGTTCAAACAATTCTGCTGCCTCAGGACCCGAGTAGCTGGGATTACAGGAACCCGCCACCACACCCAGCTAATTTTTGTATTTTCAGTAGCAACAGAGTTTCACCATGTTGGCTAGGATGGCCTCAAACTCCTGACCTCAAGTGATCCACTCACTTCGGCCTCCCAGGGTGCTAGGGTTACAGCATGAGCCCCTGTGCCCAGCCCTTTTTTTTTTTTTTTTTTTTTGGAAACAGAATCTTGCTCTGTTGTCCAGGCTGGAGTGCAGTGGCACAATCTCAGCTCACTGCAACCTCCACCTCCTGGGCTCAAGTGACCTTCCCACCTCAACCTCCTGAATAGTTGGGACTACAGGCAAGCCTGGCTGATTTTTGCATTTTTGTAGAGACAGAATTTCACCATGTTGCCCAGATTGGTCTCGAACTCCTGGGCTCAAGTGATCCACCTGCCTTGGCCTCCCAAAGTGCTGGGATTACAGGCATGAGCCACTGTGCCTGGCTACCTCCTTTTCTTTCTGGGATTAGCAATACCAGCATGGTTTGGAGGCAATGGGGCACAAAGTTACATTCAGCATTTCAACAGAGTCCCACAACTTAGCAACTGTTACTGAAAAACTTCACACACTGTCCTAAGCTTCAGTGCACTCTTGACCCCAAGCCTCCAACAACTGAGCCTTCAGGTCAGTCCCATCCAGCAAGGAGCTTATGAACAGATGCCAAATGGGGGTAGAGGGACATCCACTGTAAAGAGTTCACTCCAGGCAGGGCACCAGTTTCAACAGCCCTATTTCTCCCTGCATTCACCCCAGGCAGGGCTCATGCATCTACCTCAGGCACACAGCCAAAGTGACTGTTGAACAGTCAAGAGACTTGCTTTCCAACACGGCCATCTTCACAGTCCCAGTTCACATGGCTATCCCTGAGGAATCCTCTCAGCAACTAAATTCTCCCTGTGAGACCAACATGCTCCATTTTCCCCATAATGCCCAACCCTAGGCTCAGCAAACCTCATCTCTTGGGACTGGAGACTGTCTCTGAATAGGATCTCTGTGTGTGCACAGGGCATCATGTGGACACTCAATGGCTGTCTGGCCTATTCTCCCACTCCCCACCCCCATCTCCATCCCAGGGAGGCACCTTTGAGAGCTGGACCCTCCTGGACTTCCACCCCAAGGCCCTGGTAACACTCCTTTCTATACCATCCCCAAACAGCATTACAGGAAGGTGAACACAGCAGGGCTGACAGGATTGTGGGAGTGGGGTCCTGAGTGTCTTAACTTTGTACAGTCAGGAAGACTGTTTCTCTGAGTGCTGATGTGACTGTACAGGAACACAGCCCATAGACCAAAGTACCAGAAGTGACCCCACAGGGGTCATGCATGGCCCTGATACATCCGTGAGCTGGCACATATGCTAAAAGACTAGGCGCTCAGGGCCGGGCACGGTGGCTCACACCTGTAATCCCACACTTTGGGAGGCCGAGGCAGGCAGATCACGAGGTCAAGGGATCGAGACCATTCTGGCCAACATGGTGAAACCCCATCTCTACTAAAAGTACAAAAATTAGCTGGGCATGGTGGCGCTCACCTGTAGTCCCAGCTACTCGGGAGGCTGAGGCAGGAGAACTGCTTGAATCTGGGAGGCGGAGGTTGCAGTGAGCCGAGATCGCGCCACTGCACTCCAGCCTGGCAACAGAACGAGACTCCGTCTCAAAAAACCGGGCGCGGTGGCTCAAGCCTGTAATCCCAGCACTTTGGGAGGCCGAGACGGGCGGATCACGAGGTCAGGAGATCAAGACCATCCTGCCTAACACGGTGAAACCCCGTCTCTACTAAAAATACAAAAAAAAAAACTAGCCGGGCGAGGTGGCGGGCGCCTGTAGTCCCAGCTACTCCGGAGGCTGAGGCAGGAGAATGGCGTAAACCCGGGAGGCGGAGCTTGCAGTGAGCTGAGATCCGGCCACTGCACTCCAGCCTGGGCTACAGAGCAAGACTCCGTCTCAAAAAAAAAAAAAAAAATAAGAACAGACGCTCAGAGAGGACATGTGTCCCTGGGACACAAGGACTACCAATGGGCAAATGCAGCTCCAAAACAACCCCACCCACGTTTCAGGCCACTTGCGGCTATTTATAGAATCTAGGGACATTCAGAGGGTCACAAGGATCCTAGAAATAGAGTTTCACTCTACAAGCACCTCCATCTACATCCTAGACCCTCACTCAGCCTGCTGTGGCCTAGAGTGGTGACAGAATACAACTGCATGGCACCCTGGGCTTCCTCCCTTGAGCTCCCAGATCTGAGGGCAGGCCAGACTTTGTAGCTCCTGTACTGCCTATAGCCCCTCCCAGGGGTTGGCACCCTGCACAGCTCAGATTGTGGATACATTTTCACCCAATATTTCCACTTAGAATTCCCCTGCATCCTGAGAAGCCTCTGTTTTCGCTACTTTGTAAATTCTGAACTATAATTCTGTCTCAGGTGCCTCTTCATACCCAAATCCAACTTCTTAAAGTTTATTAAAGGAAAACATATTAACTTATTCCACTTTAACACAGAAACTAATACCTGAAATCTTTATAGTCATATTAGCATGTTGTAAAAATGAAGCACAACAAAAGTTGGAACCTTCTCTTCTCTCAATCAGGTGATAGAAAGACTGCTTTTGGCTTTAGGGCAGCACCAGGTGCTGCCTATGACATGTTACACATATTTAAGCATTCAGACCTCTCAACAGCCTCGTGAGGTTACAAATCTCTCCAATAATTGATACTACCTTATAAAAGAAATATGAAAAACTGGTCAGGTGTGGTGGCTCACACCTGTAATCCTAGCAATTTGGGAGGCCGAGGCAAGAGAATTGCTTGGCTCCAGGAGTTCAAGACCAGCCTGGGCAAGATAATGAGACCCGCCCCTATCTCACAAAAAAATTTAAAAATTAGCCCAGAGTGGTGGTGTGTGCCTGTAGTCCCAGCTACTCGGGAGGCTGAGGCAGAAGAATCACTTGAGCCCAGGAGTTCAAGGTTATAGTGAGTCATGATTGCACCACTGCATTTCAGCCTGGGTGACAAACAAAGACCCCATCTCAAAAACTCAAGTACTTGGGCCAGGCGCGGTGGCTCACGCTTGTAATCCCAGCACTTTGGGAGGCCAAGGGGTGCAGATCACAAGGTCAGGAGATCGAGACCATCCTGGCTAACATGGTGAAACTCCGTCTCTACTAAAAATACAAAAAAACAAAAAATTAGCCAGGCGTGGTGGCAGGCGGCTGTAGTCCCAGCTAGTAGGGAGGCTGAGGCAGGAGAATGGCGAGAACTGGGGAGGCGGAGCTTACAGTGAGCCGAGATTAAGCCACTGCACTCCAGCCTGGGCAACAGAGCGAGACTCAGTCTCAAACAAAAAAAAAATTAAAAATTAAAAAAATTTAAAACTCAAGTACTCCTTCATGTATAACTCCCAGGAGTTGGGCCAGGTGCAGTGGCACACGCCTGAAATCCCAGCACTTTGGGAGGCCGAGGCAGGTGGATCACCTGAGGTCAGGAGTTCGCAAGCAGCCTAATGTGGTGAAACCCCCTCTCCACTAAATACAAAAAAAATTAGCCAGGTGTGGTGGCGCATGCCTGTAATCCCAGCTACTAGGGAGACAGGGTTTTGCCATGTTGGCCAAGCTGGACTTGAACTCCTGACCTCAGGTGATCCACCCGCCTCAGTCTCTCAAAGTGCTAGGAATACAGGTGTGAGCCACCGTGCCCTGCCCAAGTTTCTTTAATTTAACCCATGTCACACTACCAGGCAGAATAGCGAGTGCTCCTGGCCTGTAAGTACTCACCTGAGCACATCTTCTGGGTGTTTCTGTTGTAGTTTCTTCCCCAAACCAAACCCAAAGAAGCACACAGCAAACATGGGAGTGACCCCGATGATAGGGGCAGCCATTCCCCGATATAGCCCCCTGATGCCCTGCAAGGAATCACAGAAGCAGAAGCTGTTTACAGACACCACCACCTTTTAAATCACTGAAAGAGGAAAGCAGTGTGTCCTCTAACCTGTGGCTTCCTTCCCTCTTCTTGAAGCAAGCAGAACTTTATTTTTATTTTTTATTTTTTTGAGACAGAGTCTCGCTCTGTCGCCCAGGCTGGAGTGCAGTGGCATGATCTTGGCTCACTGCAAGCTCTACCTCCTGGGATCACGCCATTCTCCTGCCTCAGCCTCCTGAGGCGCCTGCCACCACGCCCAGCTAATTTTTTGTATTTTTTTAGTAGAGACAGGGTTTCACTGTGTTAGCCAGGATGGTCTTGATCTCCTGACCTCATGATCCGCCCGCCTCAGCCTCCCAAAGTGCTGGGATTACAGGCGTGAGCCACTGCACCCGGCCACAAGGAGAATTTGAAATGGAAGAATATCTCCCACATTTATCAGAAATAATTGTCCTATTATGTATTGCTGGAGAAACTGAAGGCAGTTTCCATTCTCAAAGGCAATCTGTTTTTGTTTTGGGGGATATTTTTTTTCAGACGGGGTCTCACTCTGTCACCCAGGCTGGGATGCAGTGGTGCAATCACAGCTGATCACAGCCTTGATCCCCTGGGCTCAAGTGATCCTCCCATCTCAGCCTCCCAAGTAGCTGGGACTATAGGCATGCGTCACCATGCCCAGCTAATTTTTATATTTTTTGTAGAGACAGGGTTTTGCCACGTTGCCCAAACTGGTCTTGAACTCCTGGGCTCAAGTGATCCTCCTGCCTTGGCCTATTAAAGTGCTGGGATTATAGGCGTGAGCCACTGCACCCGGCCAGCAATCTGCCAATATGTAGCATACTCTTTCACCTGGAAATTTTTTTGTATGGAAAATCTATTGCAAGGAATTTACTCTAGGGAGATACTCAGAGGTGTAAAAATAACCTCAGGCATTTATAAGGTACCAAAATTTTGGGGAAAAAAACAAAAGCTGCCAAATAGGAGATAAATTATAAACTCTATAAATCACATTATAACATGAGAAGAGATTATTAAGTTAAAAAAAAAAAAGGCTACAAAACAGGATACACGATGTGATCTACCTTCTTTGGGGTAAGATTACAAGTGATTAAGAAAATGTTTTAAATTTTCTAGGTATTAAGATGAGAATTTTGTTAGAACTGCACAGCAATTTTCACTAGTACAGTTTCACTAGTAATGAAAGGGAAGGTGAGCCTGGGCAGCATAGCAAGACTGTGTCTCTACAAAAACAAATAAAAAATAAAAGTTAGCCAAACGTGGTGGTGTGTGCCTGTAGTTCTAGGTAGTCAGAAGGCTGAGTTAGGAGAATAACTTGAGTCAAGAAGTTCAAGTATGCAGTGAGCTATGATCTTGCCACTGTACTCCACCCTGGGTGACAGAGTGAGATCCCATCTCCAGGAAAAAAAAAAAAAAAGGAAAGTGAATTATGTAGTAACCAATAAATAATTAGACAGTCAGACAAAGGCCGGGCGCGGTGGCTCAAGCCTGTAATCCCAGCACTTTGGGAGGCCGAGACGGGCGGATCACGAGGTCAGGAGATCGAGACCATCCTGGCTAACACAGTGAAACCCCGTCTCTACTAAAAAATACAAAAAACTAGCCGGGCGAGGTGGCGGGCGCCCGTAGTCCCAGCTACTCGGGAGGCTGAGGCAGGAGAATGGCGTGAACCCAGGAGGCGGAGCTTGCAGTGAGCTGAGATCCGGCCACTGCACTCCAGCCTGGACAAGAGAGCCAGACTCCGCCTCAAAAAAAAAAAAAAAAAAGACAGACAGACAAATACATAAATACACCACCAAACAAGGTAGTAAACAAGGAGGAAGATTCAGGACCCAGGAGACCAGGGGGCCAGTCCAAGAGAGATGAAGTGGGTTTCTAGGATGGCACTGGGTGCAGTGGACCTGGGAAACAGTCCACAGCGTAGTAGAGGACTCCAAAAGTGATGTTTGCAAGAAAAACAGAACAAGGCCGGGTGCAGTAGCTCACGTCTGTAATTCCAGCACTTTGGGAGGCCAAGGCAGGCGTATCACGAGGTTAGGAGACCAAGACCATCCTGGCCAACATGGTGAAACCCCGTCTCTACTAAAAATACAAACATTAGCTGTGTGTGGTGGTGCATGCCTGTAATCCCAGCTACTCAGGAGCTGAGGCACGAGAATAGCTTGAACCTGGGAGGCAAAGGTTGCAGTGAGCCGAGATTGTGCCACTGCACTCCAGCCTGGCAACACAGCAAAACTCCATCTCAAAAAAACAAAACTAAACTAAAACTAAAACAGAACAAAACAACACACACTAGAACAACAGAAAATAACTCCTAAGGCAGTGTGTAGCAAACCAAACAGAAAGGTACACTACAGAGCATTTAGGGTACAGAATGACAGAGAGTGATTCAAAGACAAACAAAAGATTTAACACAATTATTAACCCAATCCTAAGGGAAACAAAAAGTTACACAAGGAATGGAATGCACATCATACTTCATACTTAAGAGAAAAAATATATATAAAGGTGTAATCATGAAAATGGTAAATTGGATTAAACCACAAAGGGTGATAAAATCATATAGATGGACAGGGCAGAAGGAGGGGATAGGGAGTATAAGAGCTAAAATATAAAATAATCTACCACAAATAGGTAGCTAAACAATATATAAATGTATAAAATATAACAGCAATGTCCAGGTACAGTGGCTCACACCTGTAATCCCAGCACTCTGGGAGGCCGAGGCAGGCAGATCTGAGGTCGGGAGTTCACGACCAGCCTGACCAACATGAAGAAACTCCGTCTCTACTAAAAATACAAAATTAGCCAGGCGTGGTGGCACATGCCTGTAATCCCAGCTACTAGGGAGGCTGAGGCAGAAGAAAGGCTCGAACCTGGAAGGCGGAGGTTGCAGTGAGCCGAGATTGCACCACTGCACTCCAGCCTGGGTCACAAGAGTAAAACTCCGTCTCAAACAAAAAAAAACAATAAATAAAAATAAATAAAATAAAAATAATAGTAAATGTGTATTATGTAGATAGGTGGGAACAGCATAAACAACTGAAAAAATTGAAAGTAGTTGCCTCTGGAGAACGAAGGAAAGAGATAAATATCACTTTGTTACTTTGTTATAAGCTTCTCAGTAACAAATGAAGTGCCTGTATCAGGGCCTATAATCCCAGATACTCAGGAGGCTGAGATGGGGGGATCACTTGAGCTCAGGAGTTCAAGACCAGCCTGGGTAAAATAGCGAGACCCCATCTCAAAACCATTTTTTAAAAAAATACAAAAACTTTTAAAGTTGATCCTTATAGAGAGTAGCAGGAGAATCAAGGTGAGGCTGCACACTGGGAAGGCTCCACAGACCCAGGCTGAAGAACCTGCCTCACTGCAGACCCTGGGTATCCAAACTTTCTTTTCAGAATCAAGGGAGCACAACTGTACCTGTCAGCATTCCTCCTAATTCCTGCAAAAGCCTAAACTGCTACAGGCTGCAGGTGAACTCCAAGAACAAAGTATAGAGGCAGTAAATGGGAAAAGGACAGAGATCTGAGGAAGATCTACAAAAGCAGCATATGACGAAGTCCATTCAAAGCCATTCCCACAGCTCCCTACATGAGCTAAAAGAATGAGCAGGTCCTGAGAGGTCAAGCCCATTCCTCCTGAACAACTTGTCTAGTCTTCCTTCCACTAGAATGGCCAACCCAGTTCCATGTAGCACAACCTACAGACCTCTGCCTGGCAGCTCCAGAGAGCAGAAAGCTCAAATCTGGCACAGCAAAAAACAGGACATGCACAAATATGGACTAAGGAAGCCTATTCAACTCTTCAAAGATTTGGGTTTATACAAGACGTTCTCAACACGACTCCAGGACCCAGCACATTGCCCACCCCTAGGCAGGTGCTCAATAACATCTAACGACCAAGAGGCAGGTAAGCCTACCTTCCTTCTGTAAGGGTAGAGGACTCTGAGTGGACCTGAAGCCTAGAACCTCCATCAGACACTGATCAGACTCCACCCTGGACACTAGAGATGTAAGGAGGAGGAGTTTAAAGAAGAAAGGACAAGGCCAGGTGCCATGGCTCACGCCTGTAATCCCAGCACTTTAGGAGGCCAAGGAGGGCAGATCACAAAGTCAGGAGTTCAAGAACAGCTGGACCAATATGGCGAAACCCCATCTCTACTAAAAATACAAAAATTAGCTGGCCGTAGTGGCAGGCGCTTGTAGTATCAGCTACTTGGGAGGCTGCGGCAGAGAGAATCACTTGAACCCGGGAGGCGGAGGTTGCAGTGGGCTGAGATCATGCCACTGTACTCCAACCTGGGTGACAGAATGAGACTCCATATAAAAAAAAAAAAAAGACGACGAAGAAAAAGAAGAAAGGGCAGGCCGGGCATGGTGCTCATATCTGTAATCCCAGCGCTTTGGGAGGCTGAGGCAGGCAGATCACCTGAGCTCAGGAGATTGAAACCAGCTGGCCAACATGGCGAAACCCATCTCTACTAAAAATATAAAAATTAGCTGGGCATTGTGGCAGGTGCCTGTAATCCCAGCTACTTGGGAGGCTGAGGCAGGAGAATCGCTTGAACCCAGGAGGCGGAGGTTGAAGTGAGCAGAGATTGCACCATTGCACGCCAGTCTGAGTGGCAGAACAAGACTCCATCTCAAAAAAAAAAAAAAAAAAAAGAAGGGTAGCACCATCTCACTCAAGGACGGTCAGGCAGGCACTGCCTCAAGATCTTCTTTCTAAGCCAGACGCAGTGGCTCATGCCTGTAATCCCAGCACTTTGGGAGGCCGAGGTGGGCAGATCACAAGGTCAGGAGTTTGAGACCAGCCTGGCCAACATGGTGAAACCCCATCTCTACTAAACACAAAAATTAGCCAGGCATGGTGGCAGATGCCTGTAATCCCAGCTACTCGGGAGGCTGAGGCAGGAGAACCGCTTGAACCCGGGAGGCAGAGTTTGCAGTGAGCTGAGATCGCGTCACTGCACCCCAGCCTGGGCAACAGAGCAAGACTCTGTCTCTAAATAAATAAATAAACATTTTTAAAAGATCTTTTTTTTTTTTTGAGACACAGTCTCGCTCTGTCGCCCAGGCTGGAGTGCAGTGGCCAGATCTCGGCTCACTGCAAGCTCTGCCTCCCGGGTTTACGCCATTCTCCCACCTCAGCCTCTGGAGTAGCTGGGACTATAGGTGCCCGCCACCTCGCCGGCTAGTTTTTTGTATTTTTTAGTAGAGACGGGGTTTCACCGTGTTAGCCAGGATGGTCTCGATCTCCTGACCTCGTGATCCGCCCGTCTCGGCCTCCCAAAGTGCTGGGATTACAGGCTCCAGCCACCGCGCCCGGCCTATTTTTTCTTTTTATTTTAAATAATCGGCAGGTATAGGGTCAGGTGCTGAAGGGACATTGTGAGAAGTGACCAAGAAGGCAAGAGGTGAGCCCTCTTGTCACGCCCGCACAAGGGCCGCTTAAGAGCTCCTTGGTCAAGCAGTAATGCCAGTGCCTGGGAAGGCACCCGTTACTTAGCCGACCGTGAAAGGGAGTCTCTTTTCCTTGGAGGAGTCAGGGAACACTCTACTCCACCAGCTTCTTATGGGAGGCTGGATATTATCCAGGCCTGTCCACAGTTATCCGGAGGCCTAAACCCCTCCCTGTGATGCTGTGCTTCAGTGGTCATACTTCTTGTCCACTTTCATGTTCCTCCCATACTCCTGGTTCCTCTTTGATCTCACTTTGTCACCCAGGCTGAGTGCAGTGGTACAATCTTGGCTCACTGCAAGCTCTGCCTCCCAGGTTCATGCCATTCTCCTGCCTCAGCCTCCTGAGTAGCAGGGACTACAGGCGCCCACCACCACGCCCGGCTAATTTTTTGTATTTTTTTAAGTAGAGACAGGGTTTCACCGTGTTAGCCAGGACGGTCTCAATCACCTAACCTCGTGATCCACGCCTCGGCCTCCCAAAGTGCTGGGATTACAGGCGTGAGCCACTGCGCCCAGCCTGATCTTTCTTACAAGTGCATAGAGGAAAACGCTGACATATGCTGCCTTCCCTCTCTGCTTCGGCTACCTAAAAGGGAAGGGCTCTCCCCCCTCCCCCCTCCCTCCTCCCTCCCCATCCCATGATCACATGATTTGCTTGACCTTATCAATCACTTGGACAGCTCACCCTCCTTACCCTGTCCCCTTGTCTTTTTTTTTTTTTTGAGACAGAGTCTCACTCTGTTGCCAAGGCTGGAGTGCAGTGACATGATCTTGGCTCACTGTAAACTCCGCCTCCCAGGTTCATGCCATTCTCCTGCCTCAGCCTCCTGGGTAGCTGGGACTACAGGCGCCCGCCACCGCACCCAGCTAATTTTTAGTATTTTTAGTAGAGACGGGGTTTCAATGTGTTAGCCAGTATGGTCTTGATCTCCTGACCTCGTGATCCACCCGCCTCGGCCTCCCAAAGTGCTGGAATTACAAGCATGAGCCACCACGCCCAGCCGCCCCCTTGTCTTATATTCAATAAATAGCACGCCCAGCCATTAGAGGCCACTAAAGATCTCCGCGTCTTGGTGGTAGTGGTCCCCTGGGCCCAGCTGTTTTCTTTTTATCTCTTTGTCTTGTGTCTTTCTTATGATCTCTTGTCTCTGCACACGGGGAAAACACCCACTAAGCCCCACAGGGCTGGACCTCTCCCTCCTGGTTCAAGCAATTCTCGTGCCTCAGTCTCCCAAGTAGCTGGGACTACAGGCACATGCCACCATGCCCAGCTAATTTTTGTATTTTTAGTAGAGACGGGGTTTCACTGTGTTGGCCAGGGTGGTCTCAAACTCCTGAACTCAGGCAATCCACCCACCTCGGCCTCCCAAAGTGCTGGGATTACAAGCGTGAGCCACCATGCTTGGCCTTTTTTTTTTTTCAGGCAGGGTCTCACTCTGTCACCCAGGTTGGAGTGCAGTGGTGCAATCTTGGCTCACTGCAACCTCTACCTCCTGGTGGAGTGATCCTCCACCTCAATCACCTGAGTGGCTAGAACTACAGATGTACACGCGCCACCACGCCCATCTAATTTTTGCATTTTTTGTAGAGATGACACTCTCTACACATTGCCCAGACTGGTCTTGAACTCCTGACCTCAAGTGATCCACCTGCCTTGGCCCACAAAGTGCTAGGATTAGAGGCGTGAGCCACCGCGCCCAGCTCAGATGTACATTTTCTTCCATTTCACATCTCAATTATTACTCACTAGTTCTCTGTGGTCTAAATTCCATCTTCCAAAAGAGAGAACCATTTTATTAGCTTGACTCATCTATATAAAACAGTAGCTAGAACTATCAGAGACCCCAAAGCAGATGACAACGGGGGGCACAGGGTGGCATGCTGAAGGAGCAGCAGCTGTGAGCCAGCTGACCAGCAGAACCACAGTTACCCTACTCTCCTTGGGGGTAACAAACCAACCCCATGAATGTGTTCTGAGTAAGAGGATGCCCAGCACCAGATACCAACCTCTCTAAAAAGAGTCTTCCGGAAACAGTCAAAGGTACCAGAGTACATGGGAGGTTGTCCAGGCAAACTCGGTGGCTGTGTCTGCAGTCGGACCTGAAACCAGAAGTTAAAATGCAGTCACCTACCAGAATCAGAACTGCCTGTCAGCAGCAATGGCCCAACTGTCTACCAAACTGAACAGGGAAGGCTGTACCTATGTACATGTCTTTGGCATTCACTTAACCTGCTGGATTCAAACTTCTCTTTCATTAGTACTTCATTCCTTTTATTAGCAAATATCCCATTGTATGAATAAATCACATTTTGTATGCCTGCCTATTCATCAGTTGATAGACATTTGTGTTTTTCCTTTTTTATTATTATGAATAATGCTGCTATAAACATTTGTGTACAAGTCTTTTGTGTGGATATGTTTTCACTTCTCTTCTGTATTGTATTGGTCAGAATTCTCCAGAGAAACAGAACCAACAGGAGATATATATCAAGAGATTTATTATAAGCAATTAGCTCATACAATTATGAAAGTTGAGAAGTCCCAAGATCTGTAGTCAGCAAGTTTGAGACCCAAAAAGAACCAAAGATTCAGTTCAAGTCTGAAGGCAGGAAAAGACTAATGTCCCATCTCAAGTATCCAGGCAGGAGTTCCCTCCTGCTTGCAGGGAAGTATCAGTCAGCTTTTTGGTCTACTTAGGCCTTCAACCGGATGAGGTCCACTCACATTAAGGAGGACAATTAGCTTTAATCAGTCTACAGATTCAAATGTTAACATTCAAAACCACCCTCACAAGCACACTCAGAAAAATGTGAGACCAAATATCTAGGTACTCTGTGGCCTAGTCAAGATGACACATAAAATTCACCATCACAGGTATTTATCCACTAGCATAATTTCTAACTTATATGTTAACTCTGTTTAAACCTTTTGAGGAACTGCCAGACTGTTTTCCAAAGTCGCTGCACCATTTTATATTCCCATAAGCAGTCTAGGAAGGGTCCCAATTTCTCCGTATCTTCAATACTTATTATCTTTACATATATATATAAAATTCTTTTTTTTTTTTTTGAGGCGGAGTCTCACTCTGCCACCCAGGCTGGAGTGCAGTGGTGGGATCTCGGCTCGCTGCAACCTCCACCTTCTGGGTTTACGCCATTCTCCTGCCTCAGCCTCCCGAGTAGCTGGGACTACAGGCGCCCACCACCACGGCCAGCTAATTTTTTGTATTTTTTAGTAGAGACGGGGTTTCACTGTGTTAGCCAGGATGGTCTCGATCTCCTGACCTTGTGATCCGCCCGCCTCGGCCTCCCAGAATGCTGGGATTACAGGCGTGAGCCACCGCGCCCGGCCTTTTTTTTTTTTTTTTTTTTTGACAAGGTTTCACTCTGTCACTCAGGCTGTGTGGTCAATAGCTCACTACAACCTTTGACCTCCTGGACTCATGCAATCCTCCCACCTCAGCTTCCCAAGTAGCTGGGACTACAGGTGCACACCACAACGCCAAGCTAATTTTTATTGTTTTTGTAGAGACAGAATCTCACTATATTACTCAGGCTATATCTATCTTTTTTTTAAAGCCATCATAGTGGGTATGAGGTGGTATGTCATTGTGATTTTGATTTACGTTTCCATGATGGATAATGACATTGAACAATTTCTCACATGCTTATTAGCCCATCTTCTTCAGAGAAATGTCTATTTAGATCCATGGCTGGGTGTGGTGGCTCACATCTGTAATCCCAGCACTTTGGGAAGCCGAGATGGAAGGATCACCCGAGGCCATGAGTTCAATTACAGAAAGCTGTGATGGTGCCACTACACTCCAGTTTGGGTAACAGAGCAAGACCTAGTCTCTTTTTTTTTTTTTTTTTTTTTTTTTGAGACGGAGTCTCACGCTGTTGCCCAGGCTGGAGTGCAGTGGCGCGATCTCGGCTCACTGCAAGCTCCGCCTCCTGGGTTCACGCCATTCTCCTGCCTCAGCCTCCTGAGTAGCTCGGACTACAGGCGCCCGCCACCGCGCCCGGCTAATTTTTTGTATTTTTAGTAGAGATGGGGTTTCACTGTGGTCTCGATCTCCTGACCTTGTGATCCGCCCGCCTCGGCCTCCCAAAGTGCTGGGATTACAGGCTTGAGCCACCGCGCCCGGCCAACGACCTAGTCTCTTTTTATTTATTTATTTGAGACACGGTCTCACTCTGTCGCCCATGCTGGAATGCAGTGGTATGATCTTGGCTCACTGCAACTTCCACCTCCCAGGCTCAGATGATCCTCCCACCTCAGCCTCCCAAGTAGCTGGGACCTCAGGTGCATGCCACCATGCTTGGCTAATTTTTTTTTGCAGAGATGGGGTTTCACCATGTTGCCCAGGCTGATCTGAAACTCCTGGACTCATACAATCTGCCTGCCTCAGCCTCCCAAAGTGCTACAATCACAGATATGAGCCACCATGGCCAGCCAAGACTCAGCCTCTTTTAAAAAAAAAAAAAAAAAAAAAGAAGAAGAAGAAGAAAAGAAGGCCAGGCGCGGTGGCTCACACCTGTAATCCCAGCACTTTGGGAGGCTCAAGTGGGTCAATAACCTGAGATCAGGTATTCAAAAACCAGCATGGCCAACATGGCGAAACCCTGTCTCTATTAAAAATACATAAATTAGCCAGGCACGGTGGCATGCACCTATAATCCCATGTACCTATAAGCCCAGGGAGGCTGAGGCAGGAGAATTGCTTGAACCCAGGAGGCAGAGGTTGTAGTGAGCCAAGATCGCACCTTTGCACTCCAGCCTGGGCAAAACAGTGAGACTCCTTCTCAAAAAAAAAAAAAAAAAAAAAAAGATCCTTTGTCCTTTTTTCTTTCTCTCTCTCTCTTTCCCCCTCTTTTTAAGAGGCAGGGTCGGCTGGGTGTGGTGGCTTATGCCTGTAATCCCAGCACTTTGGGAGGCCCAGGCGAGCGGATCATGAGGTCAGTAGATCCAGACCATCCTGGCCAACAGGGTGAAATCCCGTCTCTACTAAAAATACAAAACATTAGCCGGACATGGTGGCGGGAGCCTATAGTATCAGCTGCTCAGGAGGCTCAGGCAGGAGAATGGTGAAAACCCGGGAGTCGGAGCTTACAGTGAGTCAAGATGGTGCCACTGCACTCCAGCCGGGGCAACACAGCGAGATTCCATGTCAAAAAAAAAAAAAAAAAGAGAGACAGGTTCTTACACTGTCACCCAGGCTGGAGTCTTTGCCCATTTTTAATTGGATTATTTGTCTCTTTTTTTTGTTTTTTTTGAGGCGGAGTCTTACTCTATCACCCAGGCTGGAGTACAGCGGCTCAATCTCAGTTCACCACAACCTCCACCTCCTGGGTTCAAGTGATTTTCCTGTCTCAGCCTCCCACGTAGCTGGGATTACAGGTGCGTGCCACCATGCCCGGCTAATTTTCGTTTCTTTTTGTTTTTTTTTTTTTTTTTAGTAGAGACAGGGTTTCACTATGTTGGCCAGACTGGTCTCAAACTCCTGACCTCAGGTGGTCCACCCGCCTCGGCCTCCCAAAGTGCCGGGATTACAGGCATGAGCCACCGGCTTGGCCCTGATAAATGTTTATTGTTGCTTTAAGTCACTAAGTTTCGGGGTAAGTTGGTTTTGTTTTTTGGGTTTTTTTGAGACAAGGTCTTGCTCTGTCACTCAAGCTGGCATGCAGGGGCGCCATCTTGGCTAACTGCAGCCTTGAACTCCTGGGTTCAAGTGATCCTCCTGCCTCATTGGAGTAAACTGTTAAACTGCAATAGATAACTGATATATCCAGTTACTTTTGCAGTCTTTTTCCTGAATTTTGTTTTGTTTTGTTTTGTTTTGAGACAGAATTTCACTCTTGATGCCCAGACCGGAGAGCAATGGCATGATCTTGGCTCACCACAACCTCCGCCTCCCAGGTTCAAGTGATTCTCCTGCCTCAGCCTCTCAAGTAGCTGGAATTACAGGCATGTGCCACCATGCCTGGCTAATTTTGTATTTGTATATTCGTTTTTATTTATTTATTTATTTATTTTTTGAGACGTGGTTTCACTCTTGTTGCCCAGGCTGGAGAGCAATGGTGCAATCTGGGCTCACCGCAACCTCTGCCTCCCGTATTCAAGTGATTCTCCTGCCTCAGCCTCCCAAGTAGCTGGGATTTCAGGCATGCACTACCACGCCCAGCTAATTTTGTATTTTTAGTAGAGACAGGATTTCTCCATGTTGCTCAGGTTGATCTCGAACTCCCAACCTCAGGTGATCTGCCCGCCTTGGCCTCCCAAAGTGCTGGGATTACAGGCGTGAGCTACCACGCCGGGCCTAATTTTGTATTTTTAGTAGAGACGGGGTTTCTCCATGTTGGTCAGGCTGCTCTCAAACTCCCAACCTCAGGTGATCTGCCCACCTCAGACTCCCAAAGTGGCATTACAGGCGTGAGCCACCACGCGCAGCCCTTCCTGGATTTTCTTCCTGCTCACTGTTCTGCTTCCAAATTCTTCTCAAGGTTGCTATTACACTAACCTTTCCAAAATATCATTTTTACTATGTTGTTTATTTCTTTAGAATCTCTTATTCTTGTATTTGTCAGGTCCTTCCATGTCATCATTCCTACCATTTTTTAAAATTTCTTTAGAATTTCTTTTTTTTTTTTTTTTTTTTTTTGAGACGGAGTCTCGCTCTGTCGCCCAGGCTGGAGTGCAGTGGCCGCATCTCAGCTCACTGCAAGCTCCACCTCCCAGGTCTACGCCATTCTCCTGCCTCAGCCTTCCGAGTAGCTGGGACTACAGGCGCCCGCCACCTCGTGCGGCTAGTTTTTTGTATTTTTTAGTAGAGACGGGGTTTCACCGTATTAGCCAGGCTGGTCTCGATCTCCTGACCTCGTGATCCGCCCGTCTCGGCCTCCCAAAGTGCTGGGATTACAGGCTTGAGCCACCGCGCCCGGCCTAGAATTTCTTATTCTTGTATTTGTCAGGGCCTTCCATATCAAACCAAGGAAGTCCCTCTCTGGGCAACAGAGGTGACATGCAAGTCTGAGGGGTTTATGAACACAATAGAAATGCCCAGATGCCACCACACCTTTACATCCAAAATCCCTCATATTGTCCTCCCATAGTCAGGCATAACCTTCCCTAGTTAGTAGAGAGAGAGAAATGGATCAAAGCTTCTGACTAGACCGGGTACAGTGGCTCACGCCTATAATCCCAGCACTTCAGGAGGCCAAGGCAGGAGGATCACTTGAGGCCAGGAGTTTGAGACCAGCCTGGCCAACATGGAGAAACCCCATCTCTACTAAAAATACAAAAATTAGCCAGGCGTGGAGGCACGCACCTGTAATCCCAGCTACTCAGGAGGCTGAGGCAAGAGAATTGCTTGAACTCAGGAGGTAGAAGTTGCTGTGAGCCAAGATCCTGCCCCCGTACTCCAGCCTGGGTGACAGAGGGAGAGTCTTGGCTCAAAAAAAAGAAAAAAAAAAAAACTGACTAATACTTTTTTGTGATTTTTTTTCTTTTGAGACAGTGTCTCATTCTGTTGCCCAGACTGCAGTGCAAAGGCTCATTGCAGCCTCAAACTCCTAGGTTCAACCAATCCTCCAGCCTCACCCTCCTGAGTAGCTGGGATTACAGGTGTGCACTACCATCCCCAGCTAATTTTTGTATTTTTTATAGACATGAGGTCTTGCCATGTTGCCAAGGCTGCCTTTTTGTGATTTTATATACACTTCATACCTCATACCTGTCTCATCAGGACATCAGCCATCCAACCAAACCAGCAAGGACATTAAAGTCCTTTGCGGGTGTGTGTGTTTTTTTTTTTTGTTTTTTTTTTTTTGAGAAGGAGTCTCACTCTGTCACCCAGGCTGGAGTGCAACAGCACAATCTCAGCTCACTGCAACCTCCACCCTGGGGGTTCAAGCTATTCTCCTGCCTCAGCGTCCCAATTAGCTGGGATTACAGGCGCCTGCCACCACACCCAGCTAATTTTTTTGTATTTTTAGTAGAGATGGGATTTCACCATGTTGGCCAGGCTGGTCTCGAACTTCTGACCTCAGGTGATCCACCTACCTCAGCCCCCCAAAGTGCTGGGATTACAGGCATGAGCTCACCGTGCCCAGCCTAGGTGGTATTATTTTATAATATGATCCCCACTTGCAAGCCACACTCACCTTCACTCCTGCCTTCCCCACACCAGACTGTCTGGGTCTCCCTACTTCTTCAGTCTGAACTCAGCCAGCACTTGAATGCTTGTTCTAATGCACCACCTTCCATAGAGCCTTTTCATGCCCCACTCTGAAGCGTTGCAGCTTTTGGCTTGTCAGGACACACGGACCACAGCTCAGTTACACTATCTTGGACTTCTTTTTTTTCTTCTAAACCTTGGACCTTTGAAAGTACCTAAGGTCGGCCGGGCGCGGTGGCTCAAGCCTGTAATCCCAGCACTTTGGGAGGCCGAGACGGGCGGATCACGAGGTCAGGAGATCGAGACCATCCTGGCTAACACGGTGAAACCCCGTCTCTACTAAAAAAAAAATACAAAAAACTAGCCGGGCGAGGTGGCGGGCGCCTGTAGTCCCAGCTACTCGGGAGGCTGAGGCAGGAGAATGGTCTAAACCCGGGAGGCGGAGCTTGCAGTGAGCTGAGATCCGGCCACTGCACCCCAGCCTGGGCGACAGAGCAAGACTCTGTCTCAAAAAAAAAAAAAAAAAAAAAAAAGAAAGTACCTAAGGTCAGGCTTTGATTGGAGTCCACCTAGCTTACTAAGGCCAAAAACACAGCAGTCAGCAATTTGTGGTTTTGGTTTAAGCTAAAGAGAGGCTTTCTGGTTGCTAAATATGCCAGTGAGCATTTCAGTTATTTGCACTTCAGTGCAGAAGTCATCCAGTCCTTCTTGGGAGTAACATCAAGGACAAAGATGATAGGAGCGACATTGGTAGGTATGTATGTATGTATGTATGCGTGTTTATATATTTTTTCTTTTTCCTTTTTTTAAGGGTGGCTGCAGAGGCCTAGAATTAATAAGATATCTGCCTATATGGACCAAGAGCAGGAAGAAAGGCCAGATAATCGTCCCTCAGTAAACAGTGCTGCTTGGAATGACCACCGTCAGGGAAGCACTAACACAGGGCATTTACCATCAGCTAAATAAACATTTGATTTCATGTTGCACAATGTCGTAGCCAGTCCAGCTACTTTAACCCTGGTCTTCCTACAGAATGACCCCAGTATGAGTTCTACCTCAGGGCAGCTCCTTTCTTCGATGAAAGGCAGCAAAGAGCTTGCTGCCCAAGCCTGCCCGTAAAACTATTTCGCTGTGGAGGAAATCTGACCCAACATCCTAACAAACCCCCTCACACGGGCTTCCAATCCTTTAAAACTCATGTCTGCTCCCCACAGGCCCACCCTGGGAATGACTTATCAATTTCCTTCAAGTCTATGTCCAGAAATAAAGTGAGAAAACTTGGATGCAGCTTCGAGTGCTAAGCCATGGGGGATGGACTTTGGTCCCCCAGCAAAGCATTAATGAAGGTGTTGCAAGGGGAATAGTTGAGATATGATAAGAGGAAGACCAGAAAACAATCCCTGATCCATTGATCAGGCCTCCCTCCCAAGCCTCAGTCTGACCATAGCTTCCTCATCTGGGAGTTGTGAGAACGTGGTTGGCCTTGTGCAAAGCTGATCACCTTGCTTTCCGTGGAAAGGGCTCGGTCACTGAGGTCATCATTGCTTCTCACAGGGATGCCTCTGCCCAGTAGGCTGAGCAGGCCACCGTTGGGTGACAGGCCGAAGAGTGTCAAGTATCTCCCCGGGCCGGGAAAGGTACGAAAGAGATGGTTACTCTTGACCCAGAGGAATGTATCAAAGGACACCTCCAGAACAACCGCACCTGTCTTTAGTTGTCTTCCTGGGGCGGGCTTTACAGGGGGCCTGTTTCAACCCTAATGATAATGTTAGGGTTGGCTGAAACCAGAACTATGGAGAGACGTTTTTTCTTTCCCATCCCTAAAGAAGTGGCGCAGGATCAGGAGAGACTGCGGGACAGGGAACTTTTTACATCAGAGCTCTTGACAGGCAGTTAGAGGCTGCTCACTTTGCGCTGCCGCCTGGCTCTTTGGGGCGGAAGGTACAGCTTCCTGCCCACCCCTGAAAGAGAGATTCCCTAGACTTCTCACGGAAGCTCACACAGGTCCCTCTTCTGCCCAGCGTCCGCGCCTCGCGGGGAACCATGCTTTGCGCGCCCCGCCCGCGCCTCCTCCCCAAAGCCTGCGACCCAGCCTCCCGCACCTTGACCGTGTCGAGAGGGTGACCCACGAACACCAGGCACACGCCGCCAAAGCCGCCGGCCAGCAGGTTCTTGAGCGGGCTGATGGGTTTCGGCTGGTCGGCCATGGTTAGTCCGTCTGTAACTCAGTCTGTCAGTTCTCGGGCAGTACTGGCTTCTCAGCCCCAGCTGCAGTGCCGGCGCCGCCGACCTTTCACCCACTTTCGGGTGGGCGGAGCACGAGCCTGGGGCAGGTCGGGAGGAGGGCCCAGTGAACACTGTCGGGCTTCCGTCCGGGGCTGCTTCCGGTCTCGGCCCCGCCTCGATGGGCGCGGCAGAGCGCAAAGCTGCATGGGCGGAGTTTGGGAGTGTCGGCCGACGGGCCTATTCCTCCAGGAAGCCTTCCCAGTCTTCAGTGTTTCCTCCTCTGAACTCCGGTTCATCCACTCACTCCACAGAGATCAATTGCGCCCTGCCAAATACCAGGCGTCCTTCTAGGTGCTGGAGGCACCTCTGGTAGTACAACACACAGGTCACTGTCCTCCTGGAATTTACAGACCATAACAAAGATAAATAACCGAAAAATGCATAGTGTATCAAGTAGTAATAAGTACTACCGAGAAAAATTCAGGAAGAGAGTTAGAGGGCGTGTGGGACAAGTGATTTGCAATTTTAATTAGTTGAATAAGGGAGGGTTTAACTGAAAAGGTGACAAGATTCAAGACCTAAGATGAGAGACGGAGTTCTGTTCATACATAACCGGGTAAAGGGTGAGGAACCTTCTACTCAGAAGAAAAAGTGCAAAAGCCTTGAGATGGTCTGTGCCTGACATGTTTGAAAAACCACAGGAAGAGGAAGGGTAGTAGCTGATGAGGCGACAGGGGTTTTGGAGGCACTAGAAGACAGATTTGGGCCTGGTGTTATGACTCGTTATGCCACTGCACTCCAGCCTGGGCAACAAGAGCAAAACACTGTCTCAAAAAAAAAAAAAAAAGTTAAAGGCCGGACGCGGTGGCTCATGCCTGTAATCCAAGCACTTTGGAAGGCCGAGGCAGGTGGATCACCTGAGGTCAGGAGTTCAAGACCAGCCTGGCCAACATGGTCAAATCCCGTCTGTACTAAAAATACAAAAACTTGCCAGGCGTGGTGGCAGATGCCTATGCCTGTAATCCCAGTTACTCAGGAGGCTAAGGTAGGAGAATCGCTTGAGCCCAGGAGGCGGAGGTTGCAGTGAACTGAGATATTACCACTGTCTCTCCTCTGAAGGACGGTGAAGTCATTGCAGGGTCCTGAGTGTGGAGCGACATAGTCTGACATCGTTATCAGGATCCCCCTTTGATTGCTGGGTGAAAATAGACTCCAGGGGGCAAGAAGAAACAGGGAGCCTTAAGGAGGCTAAAAGCCATGGCCAGAGATGTTGGCTTGCACCAGGGCATAACAGAGGAGGTAGTAAACAGTGGCCAGAGGCTGGGCGCGGTGGCTCACGCCTGTAATCCCAGCACAGCTACTCGGAGGCTGAGGCAGGAGAATGGCGTGAACCCAGAAGGTGGAACTTGCAGTGAGCCGAGATCGCACCACTGCACTCCAGCCTGGGTGCCAAAGTGAGACTCTGTCTCAAAAAAAAAAAAAAAAAAAAAAAGGAAGTGGCCAGATTCTGGATATTTTCTAAAGAAAAAAAAACATTTTAAGTTGTCAATTAATAGGATATAAGGTGACCAGGCGCGGTGGCTCACGCCTGTAATCCCAGCACTTTGGGAGACCGAGGCATACAGATCATGAAGTCAGGAGATCGAGACCATCCTAGCTAACATGGTGAAACCCCATCTCTACTAAAAACACAAAAAATTAGCCAGGTGTGGTGGCACAGTGCCTGCAGTCCCAGCTACTCGGGAGGCTGAGGCAGGAGAATTGTGTGAACCTGGGAGGTGGACGTCGCAGTGAGCCGAGATCACGCCACTGCACTCCAGCCTGGTGACAGAGTGAGACTCTGTCTCAAAAAATAAATAAATAAATAAATAAAAAGAATATAAAGGGTGTGAAAGAAGAGTTAAGATTATGGGCCGGGCGCGGTGGCTCAAGCCTGTAATCCCAGCACTTTGGGAGGCCGAGACGGGCGGATCACGAGGTCAGGAGATCGAGACCATCCTGGCTAACATGGTGAAACCCCGTCTCTACTAAAAAAAATACAAAAAACTAGCCGGGCGAGGTGGCGGGCGCCTGTAGTCCCAGCTACTCAGGAGGCTGAGGCAGGAGAATGGCGTAAACCCGGGAGGCGGAGCTTGCAGTGAGCTGAGATCCGGCCACTGCACTCCAGCCTGGGCGGCAGAGTGAGACTCCGTCTCAAAAAAAAAAAAAAAAAAAAAGATTATGGGGCTGGGGCCAGGCGCAATGGCTCACGCCTGTAATCCCAGCACTTTGGGAGGCCGAGGTGAGCGGATCACGAGGTCAGGAGATCAAGGCCATCCTGGCTAACACAGTGAAACTCCATCTCTACTGAAAATACGAAAAAAAAAAAAAATAGCCCCGCGTGGTGGCAGGCGCCTGTAGTCCCAGCTACTCGGGAGGCTGAGGCAGGAGAATGGCATGAACCCAGGAGGCAGAACTTGCAGGGAGCCGAGATTGCGCCACTGCAGACAGCGTGGGTGACAGAGCGAGACTCCGTCTCAAAAAAAAAAAAAAAAAAAAAAAAAAGAATTGTGGGCCAGGTGCAGTGGCTCACACCTGTAATCCCAACATTTTGGGAGGCCCAGGCAGGTGGATCACGAGGTCGGAGTTTGAGACCAGCCTGGCCACCATGATGAAACCCTCTCTCTACTAAAAATACAAAAATTAGCCCGGCGTGCTGGCATGTACCTATAATCCCACTGCTCAGGAGGATGAAGCAGGAGAACTGCTTGAACCCGGGAGGCAGAGGTTGCAGTGAGCCAAGATCACACCACTGCACTCCATCCAGCCTGGGTGACAGAGTGAGACTCTGTCTCAAAAACCAAACAAACAAAAATATGCTAATGTTTTTGGCCTTTGCAACTAGAGAGGAGTCACCTTTACCTAGGTCAGGGGAGATTGGGGAGGAGCAGATTAGTAGAGGGGGAAAGCAAATTTTGGACATGTTGAGTTTGAAATTTCTATTAGACAGAGATATTTCTTTTTTTTTTTTTTTTTTTTTTTGAGACGGAGTCTTGCTTTGTCACCCAGGCTAGAGTGCAGTGGCCGGATCTCAGCTCACTGCAAGCTCCGCCTCCCAGGTTCACGCCATTCTCCTGGCCTCAGCCTCCCAAGTAGCTGGGACTACAGGCGCCCGCCACCTCGCCCGGCTAGTTTTTTGTATGTTTTAGTAGAGACGGCGTTTCACCATGTTAGCCAGGATGGTCTCGATCTCCTGACCTCGTGATCCGCCCGTCTTGGCCTCCCAAAGTGCTGGGATTACAGGCTTGAGCCACCGCGCCCGGCCTAGACAGAGACATTTCAGTCTGGCATTCAGAGGAGAGCCTTAGGCTAGCAATGAAATTTGACAGTCATCAGCCAATTTAGATCACCAAGGGAGTCAGTGGTGATTTAAAATAGAAGTTCAGGCCGGGCGCGGTGAACTTTTTTTTTTTTCCTCAAAAATAAAAAAAATTAAATAAATAAATAAATAAATAAAATCGAAGTTCAGAGATGGAGCCTTTCGTCCTTACACTGTTAGGAGATTAGGAAGATGAAAAGGGACTAGGAAAAGAGAAAACAACATAGAAGTGACCCTGGGTCACTGGGTCCTGGAACCCCTAAGGAAAGAGCATCAACTATGCCTGATAGGTAGACATAGCCACTGAATATAGCAAAAAGGAATTCATTGGTGACATTAACAAAAACAGTTCCTGTGGCCAGGTAGTGGCTCACACCTGTAATCCCAGCACTTTGAGAGGCTGAGGCAGCAGATTGCTTGAGGTCAGGGGTTCAAGACCAGGCTGGCCAATATGGTGAAACGTAGTCTCTACTAAAAATACAAAAATTAGGCTGGGCACAGTGGCTCACACCTGTAATCCCAGCATTTTGGGAGGCCGAGGCGGGAGTATCACGAGATCAGGAGTTTGAGACCAGCCTCACCAAATGATGAAACCCCATCTCTACTAAAAATACAAAAATTAGTGGGTGTGGTGGCAGGCTCCTGTAATCCAGCCCAGGCAACAACATGGAGACTCCATCTCCGGAAAAAAAAAAGATACAAAAATTAGTCAGGTGTGGTGGCGGGTACCTGTAGTCCCAGCTACTCGGGAGGCTGAGGTATGAGAATTGCTTGAACCCAGGTGGCAGAGGTTGCAGTGAGCCAAGATCTTTCCACTGCATGGCCGGGCGCGGTGGCTCAAACCTGTAATCCCAGCACTTTGGGAGGCCGAGACGGGTGGATCACGAGGTCAGGAGATCGAGACCATCCTGGCTAACATGGTGAAACCCCGTCTCTACTAAAAAAAATACAAAAAACTAGCCGGGCGAGGTGGCGGGCGCCTGTAGTCCCAGCTACTCGGGAGGCTGAGGCAGGAGGATGGCGTAAACCCGGGAGGCGGAGCTTGCAGTGAGCTGAGATCCGGCCACTGCACTCCAGCCTGGGTGACAGAGCGAGACTCCGTCTCGAACACATAAAAATTAAAAAGCAAAAAATAAAGCGAAGAAAGAAGACATGGCAAGCAAATAAATTTGTGAAATCTGAAATCTGTAGTTATCTTTATGATCATTGATGTTGAAGTTTGCTATATGTGGGAAGGGCATGGTGACTGAGGCCTGTAATTCTAGCACTTTGGGATGCTAAGATGGGAGAATTGCTTGAGCAATTCTCAAGTTCAAGACCAGTCTGGGAAACATAGCAAGACGCCCTCCATCTTTAAAAAAAAAAAAAAAAATTTTTGGCCTTTTTTTTTTTTGAGATGGAGTCTGGCTCTGTTGCCCAGGCTGGAGTGCAGTGGCATGATCTCGGGTCACTGCAACCTCCGCGTGAGCCACCGCGCCTGGCGATCTTTTTTTTTTCCTTTAGAATCTCACTCTGATACCCAGGCTGAGTGCAGTGGCGTGATCTTGGCTCACTGCAACCTCCAGTTCCTGGGTTCAAGCGATTCTCCTGCCTCAGCCTTCCGAGTAGCTGGGACTACAGGCATGCACCACCAAATCCGGCTAATTTTTGTATTTTGTAGAAATAGGGTTTCACCATCTTGGCCAGGCTGGTCTCAAA